CTTAGCTGTGGAGGGCAGTGTCACTGGCCCTCATATGTGGGATCTGAACCGGGGCCCTCTGGCGTCCCAAGCCAGTTCTTAACCATCGCGCCATTCGGCCGGCCCCTGTATTGTATTTCTTTAACATTTGACAGTCATTTCATTCCTTCAAATAGTCAGTGTCTGAGCACCTGTCATGTGTATGTCCAGGGTGACTGGAGGAACCCAGTGCTCCGAGAGCACTGAGGAGTGACCACCAAGCCAGGCCTGGGGGACAGGAAAGGCTTCTGGCGACATGGCATCTCAACCAAGACCTGAAGGACAGACAAGGAGCCAGGCGAAGGGAAAGGAAGAAAGGTGTAGAGGACTGGAGGCAGGAGAGAGCCTCTTCCTGGGAACTGCCAGTGGGGGTGGCTGGAATGGTAGAGGAACAGCTGGACAAGAGACTGAGCCGAAGAGGCACACGGGGCACATGATGGGGCTCACATGCGTGGTTAAGGAACGCATAAGGACAACAGCAAATCACTGGGAGGTTTTCAACTACGGAGGAATACAATCCGATCTGTGGGAAAATATTTGGAAGGAGACAACGCTGGAAGCAGGAGGGCAAAGAGGAGACTATCACAGTGCTTTAGACGAAAGACAGCCGTGGCCTGAACAAGTGTGGTAGCAGCGGGAGGGGGCGGTGTGTGAGGCCACCAGAGGCTGTAGAGCTAGAAGCAAGAGGACAGAGATTGGGTATGAGGATGAGGGAGGGGAAGGAGTCACAGAGGATGCCCAGGCCTCTGCTTCAGAAGATGGCATCGGATGGTGCCGTGCACAGAGACAGACAGGCACAGAGAAAGGGGAAGAATCTGGGAGGGGAGCATGGCGGAAAGCTGATGGGCAGGACACAGGCAGGTTGGCTTTGAGTCTTTGCTCACCCAAGAGACAGATTCCAACAGGCAGGTGAACACAGAGATCTAAGGGAGGTTTGAGAATGAAGACATGAGGGAGATGAGATGCCCTAGCGACAGTGTGTAACACACCATGACAACAGACAATAGGGACAACACTGAAACCCCAAGAATCATCACTATTTAAGGAATGAGGGGAGCAAAGAAAGTCCATGAAGAAGACAGCAAGCAGCAGCTAGGAAAGAAATGACCACTTGCCAGACTGCGCACCCATGCAGACGCTCCCATCACCCAAGACTTGGGATGGAGAAAGAACACATGTCCCTGGCAGAGGGACGGAGGAACAGGCCCGTCTCGCTGAAAAGAGGCAGGTGAGGTGGGAAACTCCAGTGGCCTTTAGAAGGCGCCACAGATCTGTCCATACCAGCAGAGGCCCAGACGCAGGAGGGCCCTACAGGAGGTGGAGGCTGACTGGGGGCCCTGGCACCAGCACGCCTCATGTTACAGAGCCGAGTTCCTCAGGAGGGACAGTGAGTGGCCTTGGCCCTGGGCCAAGGAAGAGCAAGGGGTGGCCCTGGGCCCATCCTCCCAGCAGCCCGGAGCACCCGGTCAGGAAGGTGGGGTAGGAACAACCGCCCATTTGACAGACAGAAATTGTACCAAATAGGCATTAACTGATGTGCTCCAAGTACATAGCCCATCTGAGGCAAAGCCAGATGGTCTTCTAGCCTAAAAAATGGTTCCACCACATTAAGATGATAGTACTCAGGCCCATAGTGTGTCCACAGCCAAAAATTATCACCATCTTTGGAAAAGAACTGAGTTATGTGAGGTTAGCCCCATAGTCCTTCAGCATTTCAACTAGCTTTCACCTGTCTCGGGTATTCAAATCAATGGAGCAGTCCATGCAGTTGTAGTCCCCGCTCCCAGGAGCACTTCCAAATGAAAGGCAGACAGCAAGTGCAGCTGCCCACAGCTTTATTTCCATTCTGAACATTTTCAATTCTCAGAAACTCTCGTGTCATTAATTTATAAGGAAAAAAGCAGCTAAGATGCATTACTAGCGTAGAAGCAGCCAACTGCACGTGGAAGTCCACCAAGCGCCAGCTGCTTTGTCACACAGGGCCTTCTTATCTGGGAGAGTTTAGCAGGTGGCTGGGAGGGTGGCTCTGTGTGTGCAGGGCTCCAGTCCCAGCTCTGTCACTCATCTGCCGTGGACTTTGGGCAAGTCGCTTCTCCTCACAAAGCTTAAGGGTCTGCCTAACGAAAGGGGGACCGGGCCCCACAGGGGAGCTATCGGGGTTAAATCAGATCATTTATGCACGTGCTGAGCTGTGTGTCTGGTACACAGAAAGTTCTCAAATCTCAGCTATTACCACCATGATTCTGATTATCATTTAAAAGCCAGGTAACAACCAGTGCTGCAGTCAGCCTGGTGCCTCATTCACTTTTATTCATTCACATCTCCCTCACTGGTTCATATACTCGACACAGGCTCACTGATTGCCCTGCTGGGAAGCAAGGGACCTGTGTCAGCCTCAGAGGGCTGTCTCTTGGAGGACGCAGCTAGAGGCAATAGTGTGATGAATGGTCAAGTGCACAGTGGGAGAGGCACAGGGTGGTTTAAGTAGGAAAGTATGGAGTGTATGTCATACTGGGTAGTAAGAACCTGCAAAGGTGGAAACACTGAAGATCAATGAGAACTCTACAGAGGAAGGCTCCTGAGCGGAGGCCCAGAAGAAGAGGTGCCTCTTCCATGGGGGTGGGCAGGTGGGATTTCAGTATCAGAAGTGAGATCACAGCTTAAAGGGGACAGTGGTGGGGCCGGAGAGATTTCAGGAATGTGAAGAAGGCCTATAAATAGCCATTGCCTACAATATGAAAATGAGGTGGACCAGGGACATACTTGTACAGAAGCCTTAATTTGTAAAAATATCCATATTATTAAACATGCTTTAAGAAGTCAGCATATGTAAGGGTAAAGAATATGGACTCTGGAACCAACAGCCTGGGTTATATCCCAATTCCACTCATTAATAACTGTGTGACCTTGGCCAGTTGCTTAGCCTCTCTGAAGTTCAGTTTCCTCATCTTTAAAATAAGGGTACTAACAGTCCCTTCCTCATAAATTTTCTTTTTTCTTTTTCATTAGATCAAATACAAAGAAGTTAGAACAGTATCTGGGAAACAGTAAATGCTATATAAGTTCTAGCAATAATGAAAATAACCATTATTATTATTTTTAATATCTGCCAACCTCATGAAGAAGAAAAATACTACTTCCATTTTCATTCCTTGGCAAGTTGAAACCCTTATCCCTCAGCCTGTCTTAATCCTCCAAATCTTGCAAGAAAGGCCCAGCTCACACTCCGTGTTCCCTGTGAAGCTTTCCTTGACCACCACAGTCTCCCTCTTCTAAATTCCAGGGACATGAATCATTCGTGCCTTTCCTTTATCATTTAGCACACACACACCACTGTAAACGCTTGCTTATCTTTTGGTATTTAAATGCCAGGTTTACTTAACTGGATTGAAGGAGGGATCTTACTATACAGTCTTTGTTGGCCCTCATGAGGTCTGGTGTAATGTCACGTACATGACGGTGTTTCATGGATATTACACAGAATGACCTAATTTGATCAAGAACTTGGGATGAAGATAACCCACCTGATGATTACGTTGTCCTCGCCAAGGGTCACGACAGTGGCTTCTGTGGCTTGGAGAGACATGAGTTTGGCAAGGGCTTCTGAGGTTTTGCTCTAAGAAATAATCAGAATGTAACATGACAGCTGACCCCTGCAGGAAAAGGCTGCTCCCTTAATACAGGCACAGCACACCCCCAAGGGCTCTCCCCGGATGGTATAACTCCTGCCCATCCACACACAGCCGTCATCACCACACTGGATACACAACACCACTTAGTTCAATGAATTACATTTCAGAACTGAAAAAACAATACCAAATCAACCCACTTTTTTTTAGGTTCAGTCGAATTTCTTTCCGGGCTAGAGCCTCACTCTTTTATAGGATACATTAAAATGCTGGGTACAATGCAGTGTGTTAAAAAATGCCATGACCCTAAGGTGGAAATATGAATTTGTGGACTAATAAGCCATATATTCAGTTATGTACTAAGAGGTGGTGTGATCTCTGACCTGAAATCCAGGGTTCTTCCCATGACACGATGCACCTGAACAAAGGTTTTAATAATTAACCAGCTTAGCTGGGATTTGGGAAATAGTGACCAATTTGGAGATTAGTGATCAAAGCACCTAATTATATGTAGGTTTCACATTTCTTTAAGTCTTTCTCTAGGTTGAGTGTAATGAGTAATTCTAAACATGCTGTTCAGATGAGTTAAGATTTGTATTACTGAAGGAACAGTTCTTTTAACCCGAAGCGGCAGTTACCTTTGCCACGTGTTCCAGCCACCGTCCCAGGGCAATGAACACAAAGAGCATGGGAGGTGTGTCAAAGAAAGTCACAGGGCTCCTCTCAGCCTTCTCGGCAATGGCCACCACCAGAATGACGACAGAGTAGACGTAGGCGATGCTCGTGGCCAGCACGATGAGCACATCCATGTTGGCTGCCCCATGTCTCAGAGATTTGTAGGCCTGAACATAGAAGTACCACCCACCGAGGAACTGAAAGACAGATTAAGAAGAGAGATGGCCACGACGAGCAGGGTACGGTGTCCAAGGAGACAACGGGGTGGCAGACATTCGAGGCTCTCCCACAATTCCGACATGACTTCTTCCTCTGTAATCAATGTTTTTGAAATGTATTTCCTGATTCAGAGGACTAATGGCCACAGGAAGGGATAGTCAAGAGCAGGGGAGAACTTTAAAACTCAGAGCACACAATCTAACCGTCCATCAATAGGACAATGGGGGCAATGGTGAAATAAATCACACGTCCTTTACACTGTGACCAACACTGTGCAGTCCCTTTAGAGAATGTGGTACATCTAGAAACCACTGGAGTGAAAGATGTCCGTGGTACATGAGTAAGTGAAAAAGCCAGCCATAAATCAGTATACGTCTAGTACGATGTGTCTGCCTTACGTGAACAGGTACACACACACACGCACACGTAAACAGTCTTTTCTCTATATAGATGAAAGACACACACCCAACTGGTAAGAATACTAAGGTGACCCTGGGAAATGGCAATGGGCTGCAGGCAGGGTGTGCTTAGTGAAAGAATATCTTCCTCTTTCCTAAGACTTCGGTATGGCTTAAATTGTTTACAATAAATGTACATTACATTTGGAATTAAAAAGAAACTATAGAAAAACACAAATTCAGCCTATGAAGACTTGCCCCAGATAGTCCTTAACTAAGCATTTTTATATTCAGTCAAGAGTTTTATTTTCTATTCCAAAATATATGGAGACCACACTTCCCACTAGAAGTGAAGTTAGTTTCTTAATGTTGCCCCAAACTACAAACTCCATGAGGCCTGTCTCTCTTATAATTTCCTCAGGACCACATTTCTACCGCTCAATATAAGATATTCAAGAGAAACATGAGCTCCAGGGTGATCCTGCTGCTACTTCTAACAACAAAGGTAAATTAAGCTAAACAACAAGCAAAGTGGAGACAAACTGGTTCACCAATCTTTGTAGCAAGGTGGTTGCTATGTCGGGGAGACTTCGATCACCTGCAGTCAAGTGTGAAACTGACAGTAAAACCTTTGATGTCCCCTGGGCTAGAGGACACCCCACTGCTGGTCATAAGATGGAAAAAAGCAGCAACTGTCTGGGCTGGGTCGGGAAAGCTGCAGTAAAGCGCTGGCCACCTGCAGGCATGGAAGGCAGAGGTTTCCCCCTCTTTCTGATACGTACCTGGACAAAGGTACACAAGATAAAGAAGATGAGATTTAGAATGGACAGTCCCGGAATGATGTTGTGGTCCAGGACCATAGACTCGTGAGGTTCACTGCTTGGTATCAACATATAGATCATTAAACCCATAACAGGGATGCCAAACACCAGGCTGCACAGGAAAGACTTCTTCCACCTGGAAAGCAACCAGCAACACCGACAGATTAGGTACCGCCTACCACTCGGATTATGGGCTGGGAGCCTCCTGAGGACTCAGCTTAAGACTTTGACACATGTCTGGGACAGACCACCAAGGGCAAAAATGAAAGGAAAGCCCTCTCCCTGACACCGGCCATCTGAGGGCGCATCCGAGAGTCTAAACTTCACTGCAAGGATATTTCTGAGATGTTTAGAACCAGCCTTTGCCTGCCTGTGACTGATGCGTTACCTCCGACCTAAGATGAGGCGACCGAGGCCCAGAAGCTGAGAATCCAGCCCCAGAGAGGTTTAACATCTCTGTCTACGCCTGCCTACAGTTTTTTTCAAAATGCAGTCTTACACAGGCTCCCAAGAAAAAAATAGATAAAATATTTTATTAGTATAAACTTACTTATACATTTACTTTTTAAACCATTACTTAAAATAGAGTCAGTGAGACTTGTGAGTCTGTCTTGAACACTAAAGTATGAAGGGGGGGCGGGATCACGGATGAAAGCTGTGCTCTTACATTAGCTTCACCATCCATGAAATTCTAACCAAGTGGTTGTGGAAGCTCTACTGCACCTTAACCCCATCTGAAAAGCACTTGCCTGTGAGATTAAATGCTGCTGCCCAAGGCCCCAAGAATTCAGCTCCTCAGTAGCTTTCCAGACGCCTGTCCTGCCGGTCCCTCCAGTGCTGCAGGCATGCCACCCAGAGCAAACCACAGAAGAGTCCCGAAGGCACTCTGTTTCCGTGCCCTTAGAAGGCCCTCGCTTCCTTACCCACCCCAACTTCCTCAGCCTAGGAAACTTCCACTCATTCTTTGAGGCCCAGGTCATGTGTCCTCTGCTTGTCAGCTTCCCTGACCACCCAGAACCCATTTGAATCACTGCTCATCCATTCTTTCCCAGCCAGAACATGGGCCCTGCGAATAGACAGCATTCTATTCATCTCCTGCTGCTGGCACAGTGCCCTGCATATAACAGTGGCCAGTGTTTGTTGAACGAATAAGGGAATATGTGAAACAATGAATAAACCCAGGTCTCCTGCTTCCCACGCCGTTTTCTTGCCACTTGGCCATGATTTCTGCCCTTGGAAACCCAGTTCTAGAACCCATTCAAATAAAGTCTTAAACATTGTAAAAGAAAAAAAATCCACCTGTTAGCTACCAGATGGTTATTGAAATTAAAATTAGTTAAAATTAAATGAAATGAAAAATTCAGTTCCTCAGTCACATTAGCTGCATTTCAAGTACTCGGTAACTAGTGGCTACCATTCTGGGCAGTAGAGATAGAGAACATTTCTGTCATCACAGAAAGTTCTATTGGATAGCATTTGAGGGTTAACATTACAGGGGTAAAGGCAACCAATTGAAGTCGGGGGCACCATGGGAAGCTGGGGACAGCAGGGATACCGACAAGCACAGAATGAGGCAGCATCGGGCCCGGGGAGAGGGAGGCACTCAGACAAATGCCTCAGTTTATCTTTTCTGTTCTACCTACTGCTTTATTTCGACCTTGTGGTCCAAGTGATGAGCGTTGGGGTTTCTCTGGGCTGGAGAAGCATGAAAGCCGATTTCCTTGTTATTAAAAAGAGAAGGTGGGGAAACAAAGAGGAAGGCACTTGGTTAAAACACTGCATTGGTGCAAAGCATTTTACATCTTTTGAAATTAGAAAGTTAATTTAAAAATCACATCAGAGGAATGTACTGGGTTCTCCTCCCACAACTTCTTTACCCAAATCATTCTACAAACCCTGTCACAGCTCCAGCACCATCTATGCTTAGAAGCTGTATCATCCCCAAGGAGATGGCTTCGGGTGACAATTTCTGTTCCTTCTGTCAACAAAAGGAGCAGGTTCTGGGAGAAAGGTCAACATGTCCCAGTGCTGATCAGTGTTGAGTTGTAAACTTAGAATTTTTGAGTTAAGGAATCCCAAACATCCAGTGGTCAGCTACTTTCATCCTCCGCATGAAGAAACTGAAGGTCAGAGATGTTAAACACCCTACCCAGAGGCACAGCAGCAACAGAGGAGCTATAATAGATCCAGTGCTCGGGTCTCCAGGCAGCCGGCCCAGGCCTCTTCACACTGAGCAGAGCGTGGCTACTTCAGCGTCTGCAGGCCATGGCTTCCACAGAGGCCAGGCAGATCACGCCTCAACCTTGTGTTGTTTCCAGGGATCAACTCAAGCATTTCCCTTGCCGCATGTCCCCCTTGCCCTCTCTGCCTTATTTGATCTGATCATGAAGTCACTAATATCCTTTATGAATATACACCGAAAAAGCGTCAGGAAATGTCATGTCAGCCAGCACAATATAAAGAGGGGCCCCAGGACTCTGGTGTTGGGATTTTACACAAAAAATCAGTTATGGTGGGAGAAAGAGCCCCTAAGATTGTTTAAAGACAGATCCTTTTACAACTCATAGTAGCCTAATTATACTAGAAAAAGATGCCCCCGATTCACAAGAATGGAGGCCAGACATTGGCAATAATCCTCTAAGAAGGACAAAGAGGGGCTGTGCTGAGCTCAGTGGGCTAATTAGAGGCCAGCAAGGGCATTATAAGTAAGAGGGTAATGGAGCCCCTCTTGTAAGTACCACCTCGACTCCCCCTACTCCTTAATCTGACTGTTCAGCTTCGTCAATGCCATATCACTACTGTTCTATAAGACCTGTGGTACAATAGCAACAGAAAGGCCTCCACGCTGGAACGGAAGAGCTGGGTCTGAGTGCCAGTTCTGCCACCTTTGGCTGGGCACCAGCAGACAAAGTACTTAACCCCTCTGGGGAGCTTTTCCCATCTGATAAAGAAGCTGTGTTATCTGCCTCTGAGCATGAGGCGCTGACTGTCCATCAGCGGCAGCTGCAGCATTCTTTATCTCCAAAAGCTCTGCCAGGTCATTCAACAGACAACATCCTCTTAAAACACACGTACACATGCACACACCGAATGAAGAGAAAATGAAAGACAACACTAAAAACCTGTTACAAGATGTGTCATTTAGTAAAAAATTTCATAACTAGTGGTTTCTGCTAAACTTCATTTACTCTTAACCATTAGTTGGTACAAGCTAATCTTGTTTGGTTTTGACTGTCTTAACCCTTTCAGATCACCACTAACGCTCATCCTCTTATGGAGTGGTATAAGATAGACCTTAAAAAGGAAATGGTGGGCCGGCCGAGTGGCTTATTGGTTAAGAGTTGGCTTGGGAGCACGAGCTCTGAGCAGCCGGGCCGCCAGTTCG